GTGTGTAGTAATGCAGTGTTTAAGCAAGTGCCTCAGCAGGAGGTCTACATGTGTTATCCACAGTGCCCCCTGCTGCCTTTGTACAAAAAGGGAATTTTATACTAATGTAAAATGTTTATAGGTGTGTAATGTCATAACTACAGGTTTAACTGCTATATACACTATAAAGCTATAACTTGGTTTGGTTTTGGTAGCTTGGCACCTGTCAGCCACAACTCCCACACGGTTTTGTCATGCAACATAAGATAATAGTGTCACCTACAATGTAAAAATTATTTAAGAACTTTATTTTTGTCCGTTTCAATGAATGCATCTGGTGATTTAATAAACGAGTTAAGCACGCATGTTTGGAACTCTTCCCACGAGCAGTCTAAGGACAGTGTGAGCAGATTACGAGGAAAGTTGATATCCACTGTGGAGCTGGACAGCGAGGCGTCCATTCTGTCACACAGAAGCTTGGGTAGAATGTGACAATGCATTTAATTCTTAAACACTGGATCCATCAAAAAATATTTTTTCCCCCTGTACATCCCAAAATAGGTACCAATTCTACATCTGATTAAAAAATACGCACCATTTTTGGTCAAATGCAATCTTTGTGTATACATTAATTAAATCACTCGAAAAGACAGGACATGAATAAAATTAAATAGCAAATACAACACAGATTCTTTAGATGTTTTGCATATACATAAAGACTGATGCACATAAAATACAATAAAAATTTAAATGTATATGACATTTGTGCACATAATTCGAAGTGCTGAAAAACAGAAATCAGACAAATAGCAAAACCACAAACAAACCTATTTCCCCCCCAAGGGTGTGAAATTCTGTCATACGAGAACCACAGGATCTACAAGCTTGTGTTTCATGCTTTTTTTTTTTTTAAAACTGCCTTTTGCTGATGGGAATGATTTTGTCATGTTGCCAATTTACAGTATAATTTTTTTTTTTTTCTTTATTGAACCAGCCAGGTGATGTTAATTAGCATCTAGGTATTTTCACTCCAGGTTTTGGCGGATCTCCATTTAAACCAAAAGGTGAGCGCTTCACTTGCCTAAAAGGGATAAAAAGGGACCTCCATTCAATCCAAATATCCAGCAAGATAACTCAGGAACGCAGCAGTAACTGCTAAGCCTACGTTTGTTTACTTGTCCGGTTTCCATGGGAAACCAAGTCTGCGGCTCCAAATACAGCAGTCAGGTCTGAGGGGTGGAAAGACGCATTCTCTCCTAAGTACCTGCAGCCCCCCCTGGGTTTCACGTGAGCTGGTTGCCATTATGTGCCAGAGAAGCATCCACCATCTGCACCATCTCGGTGAAGCAGACCTTCCAGCCACCTGGCATGCCAACCACCCTCCACGCCATACTTGCACGAAACAGTAGAAATTTCATTGCATAAAAATATGTAGCCAAAACATTATCATATCAAAACATACATCATAAATAGATAGAATGTCTAAAAACCCATCAATGGTGAAGGTGCAATGGATCAAGAATTAAACGATATTTCATAAAATTCTATATACAGTGCCTAGCACAACACATTCATACCTGGGTAATGCCAACATGTCATCAGCAAGGGAAATTCTCCAGAGGGAAGTTGCTACGCACCAGCTCCGAAAACTCATGCAAGTAACGTAGTTCAGTTGGAGCCTTTGCTATGAATATATGCAGACAACCGCAGCGTTACCCATCGCGATTAAAATTGTTATGCTGCAATGACTAGGCAAAGATGTGCCCATCATTCGTAATCAATGCAACGTTCAGAAGCATCTGCGGGGGTGTGAGAATCTCTGTGAGGCACCAGAAAAAGAGGGAGATTGTTTCATTCTGCAGGAGGACAGAACGGTCCACAGGATGGACGAGCCCTACTACATTTCCCATGCTGCTCCCATGATCCTTTGCTGCCACGTCTCTTCCTGGTCAGCTTCAAGTTTGCATGGAACGTGCAGGACTACCAAAAATGTATCCACCTGCTCCGCGATGTGCAGGAACCACAATATCAACAGGGAATTCTGAGACTAGGCATTATAATTTAAAATATTTGCCATCTTTGCTTCTGATAAAAAAAAAAAAAGCAAAAAAATATGCACGATATTTGCATAACTATACAATCTCGAATATTAAGTACTACATTCCAAAGAAATTAGACAGTCATGGTACATTCTAAGCTTGTCATGTACAAATGCGCAAGTTCACAATGGGCCCACAGGTTTTTGGGATCCCAACTCTGAAGGAGGCCCCAGACCAAGGCATGCTGGGTACTCATGTGTAATGAGGTAGAACATGCAGCTGGGAAAAAGCGAGTGGGCGTGGCCTCTCCATACACTGTCTACATTAACCAGCAGCACTGAGGAGCTGTGTCACGTGGGGAAGCAGACCTTGGGCTCCCCCTGCTGGCCGGGACACGTGTTCCGAGAGCATGTTTGATCTCCATCGCTCCCCACGGCATGGCACACCCCAGCCAGCTCCTTCCCCTCCCTCTCTGCAGGAGGGTGCCTGAGGGGTTCTAGGTGCTGCGGAGTTCTGTGGGCCTGACAACCCGGCCTGCAGAAGTTCTCCGTTCTGCCTATGCCGGCCCGAGCCTGGTCAGAGGTGCTCCTGAGGTGGACACAGCAGCACTGGCTGCTGTCCCAACCAAGACGGTCCTCCGTGGTACAGCCACAGGGCTGGTCCTCGGCGTCTGCCTGATCCATCAGGCTGTTACATGGGCCACTTGCATGGGAAGTTTGGGTCAACAAGCCCTGGATGCGCTGTTCATCATCAACCATTTCCAAGAACTTAGCCTCTCCAAGTTGATAATGTCTTTCTTTAGTGGCAGCAGGCGGGATCTTGAAATGGCAGCCACAGGCCACAGTGTGACTACCCCGGTCATCCTGAACCACACTACGGAAGTCCGCTCTGGCGCCCTCTAATGCCCCAGGTGGTGTACTACCATTTCTTTCCATTGGTTCACTTGAACTACAGCTTCTCCTGTTGACGTCAAAAGTGCACTGGGTGAGCAGGTCCTGTCGCCGTCGAGAAGGGGACCCTGGCCGCTCATGACGGGTGGGGGGGCTGCCATTCCTCATGTCCAGCCCCGCACTCCCGCCAAGACTCCCACTGCGAAAAACGAAGGGGTCAGTGTCGCTGCTCAGGGAGCTGCGAAAGGTGGAGCAGCTACCAAACGTGGCTCGGTTGCTGGTCTCCGTGGAGTCCAGCATGGAGTCGCTGGAGGAGGAGCGGCCACGACCACACCGGGCAGCGCTGCTGCTGTCACTGCCGGGCCCGTCTCCCAGGTAACCGCTGCATACTGACTGGTTGCCATGGTAGCAGGTGCGGGCGGGGCCAAGGCAGGAATGGATGCCGAGGGCAAAGCCAGTGTGGAGCGCGGCGGGGCAGATGAGGCTGGATGTTGGGAGGACCTGTTCAGCCCCAGGATTGCTCGGCCCCTGGGGGAAAGTTAACCCTTGGTAGAAGTAATGCTGGTACATAGAGTCGTTTGGGGAGACACAGGGAACTCTGGGAAAGGAGTGACCGTGAAGCCTGGAACGCCTGAAGGTGGACGAGGAGGCCGACGGCCGGTGGTATGTCCCAGCGGGCTGGACGTAGAGTCCTGCAGGCTGGGAGCAGTCCGGCATGAGCCGGGATGAGGCCCCACCCGCCTGCCGGACGGGGGGGTAGCCACGGAAGGTGGCGGAAAACCGTGGGGCGTACAGCGTCCGATCGACGCGCCCGCCCGTCTGCGTCGCTGTGGGCGCCAGGCTGCCACGGAGACCCGTTCCGCCGGAGTTGGGGTATCCAGGGGTGGTGCGGTGCACACGGCCCGGGTGGTGGGCCGGGAGGACCACCCTCGGACGACGAGCATGCGGCGGAACCCCCGAGTTGACACAGGCAGAGCGGAGGTTTCCCTTCTGTTGTTCTGCACGGAGGAGAAACGGAAAGCTAAGAATGAGCAGCAGCCCCCACCCACCCAATCTAATAACTGGCCCCCGCACAAAATATCCAGCCATGACATGTACCTGAGGGGCAAAGCAATTAATGCACTTTAATCTAAAACGGACCAAAATGTCAGCATCCATGGAAGCTGCAAGTCACAGCAGCTCTATTCTAATCCCTCATGTCTGCACCAGGAGCTGCAGCAAAACCCCCAGTGCCCTGTAGGTGGCGCCACAGAAAGCTCACCCACGATGTTGCGCCGGCAGTGAGGGCAGGTGTGGTGTTGCAGGAGCCAGGGGTCCACACACCTCCTGTGGAACCTGTGGGCACAGGAGATCACCCGCAACTCCTGGGGGGAAACAGTCACACCAGCAGTAAAAAATCTGGACGGGGATTGAAACAAAACATTGAGAAAGCCTGTTCATTTTTGACAGTGGGACGGATTTTATGCAAAAAATAGAAACTGGTCAACATGATCAGGTGTGAAGCGACTGAGCAGTAATGATCTCTCCTGCTGGAGGGAAAATCACGCGAAGCTGGTACTCCAGGTTACGAGGAATCATATAAACATCCCAGGACTTCCGCACTTCTGCAGCCAACCTTTCCTGGAATCCGCCAACCATGTTTGTTTTGAGTCTGATCAGAGGAGGGTGTATGTTTATATACAATTTCTAGTCCAAGCTTCTTGCTGACTGTTACTATTCCCCTCACCAATGAACAATCAAGGAACGCGTGCGTTACCGATTTGACCGTCCTCGTCGTTTCAATGTTCTAGTGGCGTGCACCTGACCTGGATGATGAAAACGATGTTACCACAGCTGGGAAGGGAGGGGTGGCCGTGTGCACCGTACATATGAACCAGCCTGACATCTGCCAAGTAATACTCAATCCCTGCTTTGCAGATGGTTTTGCCCTTGTCCAACTCCTCCTTATCATTTCAGTTTTTAAATGCAAAATGCTCCCAAATATAAAATTATAAAATTTACATTAGCCAAGATAGGATAAAAACCAGAACACTATTAGCGAGAGTGCAAACAGTGCACCTACATACTGGTATATACTGGTGTCAAACTCCAGTCCTGGGGGGCCGGAGCCCTGTGTAGCTTAATTCTTTCCCTGTTCCACCACAAATGATTCAGCTCAAGAGCTGTGTGGTAATTAGCACAAGGAGTTGAATCAGGTGTGTTAAAATGAGGGGAAACCCAAAAATGTGCAGGGCTCCGGCCCCCCAGGGCTGGAGTCTGACACCCCTATCCTATACGGTAACAGGACTGATACAAGTAAAATTCTATGTAAATATTTTCAAAGTCACTGGGAAAAGGCATAAATTAACACGGTAAATCTTGGGATTTTATGGATCGATAATGAACTATCAAAACCAGTATTGCGGTTAATGGAAAAATCCATCATTTTCCCGACCCCTACTGGACTCTAAGACAAGCAGCTGGAACACGGGGGAATTGAGGGATGAGGGAGAGGGGGATAGAGGGACTTTCCTTCTATGTTTACAACCCACTGTTCCTCCATTTACATGCTTAGTGAGGATGAGAAGCATTTAAAAACCAGATTTCTAAAAGTCAAAGACCTTTATTTTGAATGAGCAGCTATTTAAGCAGACAAATGCTACTGTCGTCATTCTTCATTCACAGTAAGTGTGGGACTAAATCCACGCAGGAACGTGCATTTAATTACTTCCTTCTGCCAATGCTCCTCCTGACTGCATTTACGGGGTGAGGGATTTTTCGTTCACTGGAAGACAATAGGCAACATAAACACTGGGCATTTGTCACGCTGCGATAAACACCATGTTTTATTCACTTAACCTTGTTGCATCCCTCCCTGCCAAATTATGTCTCGCTGTGCGACACACGGCACCATGGATGCTTCCTGGCTCATTATAGCATCAATATCGAACTGGAAGTGGAATTGAATTCGATCTCGGGGGGGGGGTCACCACACGGCATTCTGATCGACTCCCACAGTAACGTTTAATCGTTCAGCTTCAGCGAGTGCTTGCATAAAAGCTTCTTCCAGTAAAATACTACGGTGCGTCGCAGGTGTTTCAGTCAACGGTAACATAAGCACGAGGCAGAACTCATAAAATAAAGGTCTTAAAGTTTATCCCTTAATCCCGCTCCTCCTTCGAAAGCAGACAGAAATCAAACTCTGTGCACTAACCTTTCATTTGCAAGCACACTTATTTCTAGAGTCAAAAAAAAAAAAACACCATTTGTTAATTTCACCCTGTAGGTGGCGGCAGAGCTGCAGGCTGTGTGACCACTATGGCACCTTTCTTAGGCTGCCTTAAAAAAAAGCCTGGCGCCCGACAAACTGCAGCTGTTAGCTTAGTGGTGATTATCTGAAGTGGTTCACAGTGCAGCTGCTATAACCAGACCCCGTCCGGCGACTGACCTCTCCGTCGAGGTAGCGCTCCAGGCAGATGGCACAATCGGAGGCAGAGCTGCCGCAGAGCGAGTCGCGGTGCCCCTTGGCCTTGAAGTGACGCGTCTCCATCTTCTCCAGGGCCTGCATGGCCGCCCTGTTCACGGACCCCTGCCGGGCGAGGAGAGCAGCCGTGCATCAGATGGCCGCCAGCACAGTTTCCAAACCGGCCGTGACGCCATGAAGATGCTTCATCGAGTGCCAACTGTAGCTCCTGCCTCGGGCTGATCGGGAGCTGGCGCGGTGCCACCTTACAGAATAAAGTCTACGGAGAAACGACGGCAAAGCCAGAGGAGACACTCACCTGGGTTCTCCGCTGCTTGAGCTTGATCTTGATGAGCAGGAGGAGGCAGACGAGGGACACCGCCACGAAGAAGGCCAAGAAAACGCCCATGTCGAAGAACTCGGCCGGCTGCTGTGGAGAGGAGAGCCCAAAAGAGGGAGAATCAGGCCTTTCCAGGGGCTGACTGACCTCCAGCTTGATGGCATGTGGGACACTGAGAACATGCCAGGAGATATTAAAATAAAGAGCTCTGCTGATGGCAGTTAACTCCCAAATCATTACTCGTCAACATGGAAAACGCCGAATGAGACCAGGGTCCGAAACACATTAATTGGCTCATGCTGAAAACCTGCTATGATCTCAGTTGTAGAATTGGCAGATTTCCCCGTTTCTATCAGTTTTACGATGACTTATCAGTATTTCAATTCACCGCTGAGATTATCATCGTTCCTGTGGTTTCACACCAAAACTGCGTCTAGTCTTTTGTTCCTTGCCAACACATCACTTATACGCGAATCCAAATACATAATCCAGCCGACACGCTTCTCTAACGCTTTCACGTTTTCACACGCTTGTCGTCGCTCACCTGGGGCGGTCCGTGCTGGATCCTGGCACGGGCGACCTTCTGCTTGTTGACGATGTTCATGAGCTTCACCGCTTCACCCCCCTTGACAAACACCACAGGCCTCTTCAGGGGGGTGTCCGAGCCCTGGTCCAGCTTCAAAGGCCCACCAGACACATTGCATATGACACATGCCATCAGTAAATACTTTTATACGAGTTTATTATCCTTGTTCATCTTTTAGTAAGCAGGAAGTGCCAGGTGCTGATTGGATACCAACCTGGTCAATGGCACCAGGGTCCTCAGACACGTCCAGGATAACTGCAGTGGCCCCTCTCTGGACAGCTCTCTTGGTCTGGATGGATGGATGGAAAACAGGACTTCAGTCTTCAATGTAAAGGCAAGAAACTATGGTCATGACTACATGGAAATCCCCATCAGACTGGGCTGGCCAGGTCCAGGCCGCGCTCCCAGCACAGCGACATTCTGGTGCCAGAACAGGTCACAGATTCTGAAAGTGGCCAGTAAGGATTTTGTAAGAAAAGGAAACTGTGCCTTTACAATGTCCCAAACCCACATCTCAGACAAAAAGAAATAAAAAGTAAAGGATCGAAATCTGGTTTTAGTTCAACTTGTCTTTTCTATTGCTGTGACAATTTCCATCCTTTAGTTATATATCAATTGATACTGAGATAATGCATACATGCATCACTTACATTCAATTTTTTTCTGTGATATCTAAAAGCAATTTGACCAAACTGCACAAAAAGTTCATTGTTATTTAAATAATCAGGATCAAGTTGTTTGAGCCCATTGAATTCCCAGGTGTGACAGGGTAACTGGAGACAGTGTGAGCCATTGTGATTTCTATCCAGTGTGTCATTAACAGAAGATTCTCACTGCGGTTTTTCGAGGTCTTTGATTGTTTCTTTTTTTAAACAACCTAACATGAAGGGACGGAGGCTAAACGCCCCAAGTTTCGGATCCTCACACGTAAAAAAAGACGTACGGTTAAAAAAAGTTAATTTCACAGATGACCGGCAAAAGTGGACGCAGGCATGAGAAGAAAGGAAGGACGTCTAGCCGAGGAGGGAAAGGAGGAAGCGTTTCACAGCCGTGAGCGGAGAGGGAGCTGGGCCGCGTGCGGATGGCGTAAGACCCAAGGCGGGCGGGAGGCCCGGCACACCGCCCCACTCCCGTTACGGCCCCCAGCCAATCAGGGAGGCTCCCGAGATCCTGTGACGCAAGGCCCGGGAAACGGTGCCGACGGAGCGGGGAGGTGGGGAGGCACGTGGCGGCCGGGGGCGTCTCCAGGAGACTGCTGGGGCAGAAGGAGCGTCGCCGTGTGCCGGGAGACCGAGCCTCACCAAAGACGGCACCAGCGCAAGGAAGCAAAAGCCCGATAAAATCAGCCTCAAGGTCAATCCATCACCAAAAAGCCTCCTTATTTGTAACCAACACCAGATTAAGTTCATCCGCTCTGAATGGAAATTCACACTATTTTCATCTGGAGAGGCACCTCACCAGACAGACACAGGTCTTTGGCAAAGCATCTAAGCGGCTTGTTATTCTGCAGGGGGAGGGACACGCCCAGCTCTGATTGTGTATCCTAACCTTCCATTACAGCCAATCTGAGGATCCCTCAGCCAGTATAATTAAGGTAATTAGGACTTTGCAGTACCCTGTCCTGGTACAGTCTGAGGTTGTATGTCAGCTTTTTATTTCAATCTTTTCTCCTTGATACCTCCAACTCGGTCTCATGACTGAAAGGACTGTTTAATGACCCCCCCCCCCAACCCCCCCGCTAGCCGCGCAGAATGCAGGTACCTCTGTAACAGTGTATGTTCAGCTTAATGATAAAATGATCAGAAATGCCTCTGCACAGGGCACATAGACTCTGGAAAGAAGCTGCTTTTCTGCAGGATACTGGCCCTCAGCCGATCACCAAGCTTCTCTGCATCATGCAAATCTGACCCAAACATCTCTAAATAAACAAACAAAAAAAGGCTTGAAGAAATGCTAAGAGAACACAGAGGATCAGGTTTATCCAATTTTTTATTTATTATTAATTAATAAGAAGAATAATATCATCATCATTATGGACTTTGAGCAGAAACACACTATGAACAAAGCCTCTCTATTCGCATTTGTCAACTAGTAAGACTCCAAGCAAAGGAGTCACCCAAAAATACTCAAATCTAATGCTAAATCTCTCCAGTTACAGTGAGCTGGAAGAACAGAAACTAGAATGAAAGAGATGAGGAAAAGCCTGAAAAATGATTACATTTAGATCAGAGAGATCAAAAGGTGTTTGTTAGGACGTTTACTGGGAGAACAGGTCGAACCAGAGGTGACGGTCTGGTTCTTCAACTGGACACGAAAGACCAGTCACGCTAAACACACCCAGACAAGCACATTAATAAAGAGAGGCAGCTGAAAACTGGGGCTCAGCATCTAATCTCTATGTAAACTTGCCTAAAGCACTGTCTGGATCAGCATTGTTAGCGCTGATGTAAAGCTGTCCTCCTCTGCCCGCCCTCCCCAACACCACAGCGCACCTGCCCTCGCACACGGAAGGCTCGGTGCATCAGGGATTTCACGTTTCAGTGGGAATTCACCAGGCTATGAATGCTACAGACACAAACCAGAGCGCCACGCTTACTGGACCTTCCCATCAAAGCTAGGCTGCTCATGGTTTCACTTCCTGTTGTTGAAGCTATAACCAAGTTCTCCAAGCACACCTGCAGCATTTTACTAAGAAAGGCACAGCATTTAAGGGGAAGGACTTTCAAAACTCATGAGATGAAGAGCAAGAAGTGGAGTGCAATACCACCACCATCACCCCTGTTTAGAAAGTTTAGGGACCGTGGTGAAATTCTGGACACGGTGATTACATCCAAATCTCAGTGCAGGACATCGCACGCACCAGTGCACCCACAGCTGGATGATCCCACTACGTCATACTTGCGTAACTTCCTGACCAGATTACATCACCCTCTCTGCTGGGAGGGGGGTCTGCAGAAAGGTGGGAGCAGCACCCCCATGGTTTTCTGGGGGTCTGATATAGCCAGTGCTGGACTCCCAAGATGAGAAGCGCCCTTGACCAATCACAGTAAACCTCTGACTCTGTGCTGCAGGCTGAGATCTCACTCAATACCCTTGGACAGGTACTTAGGAGATGATTCAGACCCCTATTGATAAAACAAGCCAGAAAGCACATTAGCAAGAAAGCAAGAACTTCTAATGAGTTAAGCCTCAAATTGCCCAAAGGTGAAAACCTCATTTAAAAGAACATTTCAAAGTGATTCGATCATGCTTTTACTAAAGCAGGATCTTAAAGGCACATTAACCAAATGCTTAACTTGGGAAAAGGACAGCCAGAAATTCTTAGTAGGCGTTCAGTTTATAGCATGGGATATGACTTAGGCGGCTTTGTAGCATGCTTTGTGGCTCAAGCAGACCGACATGTGACATTTACGCGCTGTGCCACACAAAGGCCTTCCTTGTGCCCTTGCATTCTTCCCTTCAGTTTACCCCGTCGCAATATCTAAAGGTCAAACATAGCATAACTGGCACTTCCTTTGATCTGACAGGGCAGGGACAGGGAGAGGAACAAGACGACAAAGCTGTTCTTGTAAGCCAGTCCACAGCGAGTGAGGTCTTGGCACGTATTAACAGAGCTTTATCACTTATTTTACTTCATCCAATTCATTGCCAGAAATCAAGGAATCCAAACAAACGTCCCACACCGACCATCGCAGCAGCCAAGGTTAAACCTGATTCTTAGGGGGCTCAGGAATCCCTGGTCTGCCAGCTCATACAGAACAAGCAGAAAAACCCACCAGACCCCCATTAGATTGCCTGCCCCCCCGTGAGGCCCCATGATCTCTGAAACCCAGACAGTAACTGCTCTGAAACGAGGCGAGCTGCCGGCACCAGCGGAGTTTCATCTTCAAAAGGTCCGACAGCAAACAAAGGTGGAGCCTCCGGGCATGGCGGGCGTGCAGAGGAGGGCGCGGCCATTCCGCCCGGAAGCTGGGACCGCCGGGCATGCTGGGACCTGACCGTTTCCAAAAGGCTAGAACAATCGCGGCGACTGTTTTGTTTTATTCTGCAAACTGACGCACGTCGGTTCAATGGCCTTTTCAAGTCGCTGCAACTGAAAGTTTAATCCTCTTCCCCATCCCACCTCATTTACCCAGAAGCCTTTGCACACCCCCAGTTAGCCCCACCCTCCTCTCCTTCAATTCAACACCACTATCACCAAGCATAGCCCAACAGCAAACGGTGAAAATAGGATTGTAGGTGTGCATGTATGTGTGCGTGTTGAGGAGTGATCTTGAACACAGTAACACCTCCTCTCTGACAGGGGGTGCACTGTCAATAATGCAGTCACTCACATCATTGTCCGCTATTATTCATCAACAGGGTTCAGTGGATATTATCACCAGTCATTTTGTTTGCAGATTATTTATGAAGACAGTGTTTTGATGGGGTTTAATTTATAGGAAACACATTCCATACAATCAAGTAAAAGCTGGATGTTGATGGTGATCACACGGCCTCACAGCGAGGTAAACGCACTCTTACCTTCCCCAGGACCGTGAGGCAGCTTGGGTCCAGCTCAGGCTGCTCCAGCTTGACCACGCCCACCCAGCCGTAATCATGGAGATCCTCCTCGTTGTTGCCATTGCAAAGACCCAGCGGGTGGACCTGAAACGGCCCAGACAGCATGTCACACATCCAGCCACCAGGGAGCTGTGCGCGTGCCAAGCGGAAACCCACCAAATCAATGCCACAAGGGGGCGCTGTCATCTGGCATAGGCGAGGTCATGGGGTCAGGCGCCTTCAAACGTGACAAATACCACCTCATTGTTACGACCCCTTTGAAAACATGCCACTAACCACAGTACAAAAATAATTAAAGAGTGTAAATGTAGCTTCTACTGGGACATGGCCGGATGCCTTCAGCTAACGCGGATAAATCATGCCAAATGGAAGCCTTTTTAAGCGATACTCTGGGGATGTGCAATTAGTTCAATAACTAATTAATAGAGATATTTTACAGAAACCTTGACGTCCTTTGGTTTCATAAAGTATTTCACCGGAACAGGTTTCACCCAAGTCATGCCTTTTAATACATAAATATAAAAGTTTGTCTGAGGAACAAGTACCGTAACATCCTTAACATCTTCAGAAAGTTACCAAAATACTGAGGCAACAAGAGTACAACCCAAAGCATTTTGCCCACACACACACACACACACACACACACACACACACAAACAGCAGCATAAGAAAGTAATTATGAATTCGCCAAGGACCGACACCAGGAAAACAGATTTTTATAACCTCCATCTTCAGTTAAAAAAACGACCAAATGGTTTATAAATAACTTATTTACTGGCTGTTTTACAATGCTTACTGAAACAAACAATGATGATGAGCCTTAAGCAGCAAAAGGCTCATTTATTCCCCAATAACCTCATAAATTAGCATTACTTTAAATGCTTTGATGGACTGGCCTGACCACAAGCTCCCAAAAGCCACAAAATCGCGGCATCAGGGTGATCGACACCCTCCCCCAAAGGGTGGAGCCAGCCTCACATTAAAGGGCCATAGAGCCACATCAGCCTATCACAGTCTGGGTGTACAGGTTTCACAGAGTGTCAGGTGCGTCTGCTTGGCACCAGAAGGCGTCCCGGCAACCATCAGGATCAGGTGGCGGAGGATACAAAGGACCACATGTACTCCCAGTGGCCGTGTTCTGCTAATCGGGAAGGAGGTTCTTGCAGAATAATGACACGTCCTACCAGTAAAGGGTGGGGGAGAGTCGGTAGATCAAAGCAGAGAAGCCTCCTAGGGGCAGAGCCAAAAATGATCCCAGTTCCGCGACTACCCTCACGCGCACCCCCACCTCCTCGGAGTGCCATTGAAGTCATGCCGGAAAGATGACACACACACCAGACGGACCGTGGCATCGCTGGCGAGGGATTTAAAGCATTTTCCCATAGTCCTCCCTCCCCAAAGGGGATAATGTTCAAAAGAATCATGCCTTGTGGCCTTTAACCTCTCCAGAAGGTCGGTGCCGGTTGGAAACCCCCAGGGCCAACATGCAGATGCTGACCCCAGTCCGTGGTGGGGGACTTTGGGGTGAGTAGATCCTAAATTTGCTCTTAAAACGTCCCACACACAACCACATGTTTTGGGGGGGGGGGGGGTATATCAAAGAGTTCCGGGAATGTCACTTTTTCCCAGAAATTTTAAAAGAAAATTAATCATAGGGTAACTCATCCCACTCAAATTATCCATGTCAAGTCTGGCTCAGACCAGTCGAGACCCTAAGATGTACTGTAGTCTTAATGCCTTTATTAAGATTCTGGCATTGGCGGCATCACACCCCCCCCCCCCCCGAAAGACTTTTAATACAATTTAAAAATTCAGCTTAGATTTCCATAAGATCAGTCTGCATGTTTCCATCAGTAACCGCTTGACCAGAGTTGAGATTAACGGGACGACAAAGCTGAGCTTGTAAGCCAGTCTACAGCGACTGAGGAGAGTGGAGGTCAAGGGGAGGTCATGCGAGCTGACGATCGCAAGTTAAACGGAAAACATTTCGTTGACCTTTGGGAGGAAACTGAATTACACAAGATCTCCACACAAACAAAGCAGAGGCTGCATACAGCTGTATTAAGTGTCCTGAAGGTAACCCTACCCACCACAAGTCCTACATTGACTGGATCCAGTCCACTGCTACTCCTGAGAACCCTGCAAACTTGCTGATCATAACAGTTAGCCACACTGCTGCCATACACACCGTACCACAAGCTCAACGTTGTCTCCATGGCTACAAAGCGCCCACCGCTGCTGATTTTGAGCTGTTGTTGCTCATGTTCAGACAGATTATATGGCCCACGGGTGGCAGCAGGGAAGCAAGCATGAGAACCTTCTAAGGCGGAATGTGACACGGGGCAGAACTAAGCTCAAGCCTGAGCAGGCAGCAGCCCAGTAGAGCGAGCGGGAGGTGGACCAGGCTGCCGTGCAGGATTGGGACTAAACCAGCCCCGCTCAGTCTCTCAGGGGCTGGAAATAACCTCAGAGCAGCGTTACTGATGCTGCCGCCTGGGATGGCAGAATAAGAGGCTTCACAATCTGTCGATCATCCAAGAAGGTGCGAGTGAGCTAAAGTGATCAAGCACTTCCGTGGGTTCCACTATACATCATCCAATGCAGATCTAGTCCAACTTCAACACGTTAACCCTGGACCTCACCATCAGATATCAAAAACCCCAACCAGAAGACTGAAGAGACTATAACCATGATAATATTTTGCCATTGGACAGACAGGAGCGGACTGTGCTAAGATAGTACCCAGAAAGTACAGTGCATTCTGGGGGAAAGTCACTCTGCACAGAAGCCCACACCATGAAAGAAACTGCACTCCCTCCTGGAAGACATTTCAGAGGGCTTCTGAGATCCAGCTGACCAAATAGGTGACTGCAGTCAGAACTTCTCGGAAGGTTAAAAAAAAAAAAAAATCCATCCTACATCTGTGCTTAAAGCGTGGTTTTGGGGTAGACTGGGGCTCTGAAAATTGTCCGTATAATATACAAAACTCTTAAGAGGTTTAAAATGAATTTGCTTACAACACTAATCTCCAAGCCTTCATGAAGCCTAATCCAGCAAATAAACACACACTGTGCTGTTCATTCATATAAATCGCTTAGTCACACAGAAATAGGAAAATCCTGCAGCAATGGCCAAATGGTAATAAGGCAAGGTCAGGTAGCCCCCTGTGTACACGCCACAAGAAACTGGGAAGACCTGACTTGATGGATACAGTGGCTTTCCATTGATGAAAACACTCAGTCACCTCTCATTAGAGCAACTGTTGACTAAACCTGAAGGCCTGAAGCTTAGGATGCAATTCCAGCTGCAATTATGAGTTGGATGTGAATGCTGCTGGTGTAGTTGACGTATTTGTGGTTTAACTGTGCCACAAACATTTCCTGCTTCAACAAAGTGCAACCCTGGACTGTACATTAAATACTCCCCCTCCTGTTAATTTGGCTCAGTTTACTGGGCAAGAAATTAACCATGATCACATCAGACAGTTAATGGGAACTCGGAGACGGACAGGGACAGAGAGGGACTCAAAGGGGGCACTGAGGTGACAGCTCCCAGACAACCACCGACTGAATGCATGCTTAACAGCGCTGACAGGACTGCCTAAAACAAGACGTTCAAAGACATACAGGATGATGTCACCTGGTACCTAAGGCAACCAGAGTCATGAAGAAAGAAAGAGCTGTGATATAGGTTTGGTGCCGGTGGGAAGCAATTGAATCCTTTTAATTATCTACAAACACAGAAACTGCAGCAGAGTGTGTTACAGCCCACGGCCATAATCAACACAAGGCTCTTAAATGTACCAGATTCTCTTGTTGGCATTATGTTTTTGGGATAAGCCCTTATTCATACAGCAAACCCGTGTGGGTCAAAAGTCAACCCCCAACCCCCTTGAACAGAGCATGGGAGTTTTACACACAAAAAAATGTTCTGAGGACAATGAAAAATGATTGGGTATCTCTGTTGACCAATCTGATTGTAGAAGGAGTGGATCCAAGTAACTAGAGGAGGTGGGACCAACCAGTCAGATGTTTTGATCACGCCTCCTCTGGTTTCTTGTACCCACCTCCTCTACAAGCTGATTGGTTCTCTCTCTGGGCCAATCATTTTTCATTCTGCCCTCAGAACATTTTTTTGTGTAAGAAACTCCCAAGAGCTTCAAGGCAACCAGGCTAATGGCTCATAATACAAGTTTGCCACAGATAACAGACAGTACAAGCTTACCTGATCCCCAAGGCTGAAAGAGTCAGTGCGTTGGATTTTATGTTAGCAAACTCAGAGGGGCAGGGCAAACACAGACAGAGCAAAGACTCTTCCAATTACCAGATCCACCTGCCGTCTCCAGAGAGACCACCCAGCAGCGTTTCAAAGACCTGAAGAGACTCTTTCATAACACTATGAAAAACAGCAGCATTAGCATTACTTTTATTAGTCTAAACAGACTGGTGTAGCCACAGAACCAATACAGCAACCAACAGGGGTTAACTCAGAAAGACGTCTGAAAACCATTGGATTATAGAGCATTCCACGTAGAGTTAATAAGCAGTTTGAAGTCCAGCACTTTAACCAGAAAGGGCCCGCTGAGAAGCTGCTACTTTCAGGAAAGCTGCCCCAGTGAAGCTTTCTATTGTGATTTTTTTTTTTTTTGCTGGAAGAGGCTACTTAGAAATACGCCACGTCTAAAAATCCACATTCGGTCACTTAAAGGATCATGTGACTGTACCGCCTATGTAACTGTACGAGTTCAGCAGCCTACAGGACAAGCTTCTTTCAAAAGGGCTCAAAAACGCTGGCTGTAACAAACAGGTGGGTTTTTTTTTTAAAAAGCAACATTATAGCAATTTAACACTATTGCTTAACGGCCCATAAAAAGTCATTAACAAGAATGCCCTCTTAACTTCACTTAACTCACAACCCTATTGGCTCACTTTTCCTTCATCTTACACGTAACAGGAAAATGTATACTTAGCTGCGTTTAACACTAATTTACATGCTATACAATAATGCATTTCTTATCGGATGACAGAGAACAAATACCAAAAATGTTGATGCAATCTCTTGTAATCGTTTATTTGGTTTGGGAATTTCCATTCAGCTCCCCAAAAACAGCTGCAACAAGTGAAGCTGAGGAACCAGGACCATGTCACACGCCATATTGTCGTCAGAGCCGGAAAACTATCCAAAATCATAGGCAAGCAGCGGAGATCACGCCTTCTGCTGGCATGCACACCAAAACGTGGGGGGACGCTCACTGCCATCACTACCGGACTCATCTTCATTTAACATATCAACACCCGATAGATTTCCCACCTGTTTGCATGAAGCCCAATAAAACCAACTGATTCACGCCGAAGTCTGAAACAGCGACAGAGCAGCACAAACGCAGTGCTCTACATCTGCATTACATTACTGTAATTACATTCAACGGCTCGTGTGCAATTATGGGCGACTATAATCGACAATAAATACAATTAGTTAGAAAATGTTTTGCAACTTGTTTTCACATACTCGCTTTGAATCAATATTATGATTGAAAGTCAAACGCAAAATACACCAGTCATCGAAAGTTGTCAGGTTGAGTTACCAAATAACTTCAAGCAGGTTATGAATATCAAATAAACGACAGGGTGCCGCTTCCAACAAAAATGCATCTTTGAACCCGAGTCGATGTCCACGACTTTTGCGGCAAAATAGGAGCCATCTTGGGACCACCCCCTCCAAAAAAAGTTGGGGGTGGAGGATGATCAAAGTGAAAAGAAACGGCACCGCATGCAGCCCTACACGCGTGAGGATAAGCGGGCATTTCCCTGGTCCCGTACCTGTACGATCTCGCCTTCCGCACTGATAGTGGCTCCGGCTTTGGAGAAGCGACCTTGCAGACCCGTAGTGTAAGTCGTGTAATCCCCATTGGGACTGGACTCGAACAGCACCACTTCGACGAAGGCGGTGTCCTTGGCAAAGGCGCTTCTCGAAGCCGCCACGGTCACCAGGATCAGGAAGGCCACCGGATCGCTCCGCGGAAAAGTCATCATAGTGCCGTCCGGGTCGACGCCGATCGGGACATAATTCCCACTTGCTGGGGGAATGCCCCTGACTCAATCCGAGCACTTAGGAAAACTCAAGAGATCGAGCACCGTGCTTGTGCGGAATGGATCGCAAAAAACGACGAGCAAACTGCGAGAAATGGACGGAAACGCACTTATTTGCTCCCTCGCAGCCTTGTCATCTGCAAGACGCCTCGCTTCTTTTGCTCTTCCCTCGCCCTCTGTTATTTCTAGTCCTATAAAGCGGACCTCTTTTGATCTTCAAACACGTGATTTTTTTTTTCCCAAAAGGGTTATCCCCACCCACAATATTCCTGACCCTTTACTTCCCACTCCGTTTTCCCGCAGCTACTAAAGTTAAGGGCGCGCTACACTGGCAATTATGCTGAAAGGAGAAAAAGACAATCTTTTTAGTTTTACTTTCCTTGTGGTAGATATGGCATTTGATTTGATTTACGCTAAGAAAAGTGTCTCAACGTGTCTACTGTCTAGGTTTGAAAACAGGTCTACTTGATAACAGGGCACACCAAAGAACACGTTTTCCAAGAAAATTGCCTTTTAATTCTGTAGCCTGTACTATCGAAAACTAATCGCCTAGCTTTTTTAAAACAGCAGTAACATTAATTTTTAAAAAATCCGGAATTTACTGTGGCTTAATTAAGTTAATTCTTTTCCGAAATATTGCGATTATTTTTTTCTTTCAGAGTTAGAGAAAAAAAATAACTGAAGCAAAAACTACCAAATTGCCCCTGTTTGGGAATAATCTCGACTAGCAATTTGAAATGTTCGAAAAATAGGAAATAATTTGTTTCATTTAATTTAGATCTAATTTCCCTGTTAGGAGAATCAAACAGCGAGTTGACATTTGCCGATTTTGTGTAGTACTGTTGATGAATGCTATCAATGATATGTGGCTTACAATGACACATGATTATTACTTTATTATTGTTATTGTTATTATTGTATTGTTGTTGAGTTTTTACATTGTGGCAGTCTCAAGCAGATGCCGAATACTGCCACCTTCCACAATCTGCGTAAACTACGTGCTAAAAGATGTTTACATTTGCATCCCTCTCGAGTTTCATTCAGTGGAATGGAGTCACTGGAATGCAAACTAACAGTGAATGGAGGTTTGTTCCCCTGGTCCCAGACTAAACATTTCCCCCCTCCGTTTCTTTTCACTCAGAGCTATAGAAGGAGGAAACAGCCAAGAGAGGTGCCCATTTACCTACCCTCCTGAGTCAAAATTGACTGGAAATGTGCTTGTTTCCTGCAGGACTTACAAAGGGTCTGTGCAACTTCAGAAGTAACAGTACTTACTGGCAGCTTCAGGTTCCATCCCCCTTGTTTGAAGAACATGGTGGAGAACCAATAAAAAATTAACAATTTCTTGTTAATTTTCCTCACATTACAAGTATGTGGGGGACACAGATGAATCACATGGAAGGTTGGACCACAAAACAAGACAGCAGTGAAGAAAATGCTCCTCCCAAATGCAGAACAGATTGATAATTGAGTTCACTTTATGCAGTGCCTTATGATCAGGGAATAAGTCCCCCCCCCCCCATCATCTTGCGCTTGGTAACTGCATATTCCAGTGTCCCGTATTCCCTCTCCTCCATACCCCATCCCAACTCCTGACGCCTACTCTACCAAATGTCACTGCAACATGGAATCCTACTTCCCAGGGAGCTCACAAGACCAGCCAATGGCACTGTTGCTGCTAAGCAGCCATGGCTGAAAATGTGTTTGTGTTCGCAGTGAAGGACAGCATTCTGTGAGATCAGGCCCCACATCACCACAAGTCTACACTACCTGTGCTTGTTTTCCCCAGTGAGATTGCAAAAGGAGGAAAATAAACTAGTAAACACCACGATGCTCACTTCCCCCATATCCAGACACACAATGCTGTAACATATGTCAGCTATAAACTGCCTTGAATCCCCCCTTACCATACACCAGCTGTTTCTGAAAGCACGCTTTCAAAGTCTTCCACACACAGGAGGTTATTAGTTTCATCTCACTTAACTGGAGAGCTGCCACCAGGACATTAAACACGGAGTATGCTTAGTAGTAATCCTTAGAAAGTATTATATTCAAGGTGACAGAGTAGAGTTCCTCTGATAAAAAAGGACAAGATTAATGGCGACTTATTGGCTGGAATGAAATTATCTAATATAGTGACTATTACGGTCAATAAAAAGTTTTGTCTACGATATGGTAATCGCAGTTCTGAAGAACAGTGCGTTTTAAGTGAATCGTATTAAGTTATGCCGCCCTCTTGCGGTTGTGTGTCGTCAGGGACTGATGCTGTTTAACTTCCGCTCTGAGAGCAAATCTTTGAGAGGCGTTAATGGTAACAGGGCTGGTCAAAGTCCACGTGACGCTGTTAATTTGGATACCCCAACACAAGAAAAGCATGCGCAAATATTTTTTTAGAATTTAATATCTATATTATATATACAGGCTATGAAGTGGTTTTGATAGTTTTGAAACATGATCGTATATTCGATTAATCGCGAAGGTGTGTGTTAAAAATAGTTTTACAGCCCTATTAGCATTTTTTTTCTGATCACACCGTGCTAACCTATGCCGTAACACTGACCGGCCCTGCCTCCGCTCACCCGAAATCCGTTACGGACTAGGCCTAATTCTATATTGAGAATTTTGTATGTCTATAACTGTATTTGTTATATAAATTACAACATTTTGTCGGTCTAACGTCCAACAACTTCACTGCGTCTTTTAATGACGTGCACATTAGCTAATGCATTGATAAATTATGTAATGTTACTTTACTATTTACGCAGCGATCATATTGCAATACTCAATTACGACAGCAGGTGGCACCAAAAACCAAAGAGTCATTTGTACTAGAATGGCCCACCAGAAGACTAACGCATGTCCTGGTTTTAATTACATTTAGGCTTTCAAGTACGTCATCGAAGAAAGTAGCTCCATAATGACTATTTATGAGCTATCCCTCTAAGCAGTGAACCTCACATACAGCTGGACATTCTTCATAAGAACAAAACTGCATTACATCAGTGCTACACTGCTACAGTGCTACACTCCATAACAACAAAACTGCTTTACACCAGTCCCCTAGCAGACAAAGCAAGGATAATTCAGTGTAGGGTGTTTTTTTTCTCAAATTCTATAACTGCAATGTTACTTAATATTAGAATGCATTGCTGTCCTCTTTGCCCCATTTGCAAAGCATTTGCTATGTCAAGCATGTGCAAGCTTGCTTAACATCATATGACAAAGGAATTTAAATCACCAAGCCTTGTTCCCAGAATCCTTCTCTGTGCCCATAGAGCCCAGCTGTATTATTATTATTTTCCATTGTGTGTAATGCAGAGCTTCATGCTGCTGGTGTTCACTTCACAGGAGGGCAAGGCTGGGCAGGTACCGTAAGGGGACTTTAGCACAGCTCCCTTCAGACTGTCATTAAATTATATCTGCTGACTGTAAGTTAATAAGTAAGCAAGAAGTAAAATTTAAAGCTATCCCAGAATCCCCAGCAGCTGCAATAATATACTGAAAGCGTCAACAACACCCATATAAATGGATTGAAGTTAAGGAGTTAGCGCCGCTTCGCACCAGGGATGTGCTTGTCTCTGGTTCATGGGGCCTTGCAGAGCTCACACTTCAACACTGGTGAAGCCAGTCAAACTGAGTTGCGTCAAACAGAAGAATCCAGGCATTAATCATACTAAAAATATGTGTTGATGATTTGGCTTGTCACCCAGCTATAGGATGTGAAAGACTTATTCCCTGTAGTGTCTGCTGAGTTGGGGAAGAAAAGGGAGGCGTCTTGACCTGGAATCATCAACGCGTCCGTACAAGGGCAAAGGTGTCCATGGCAAGACTCATCTACACCATGCAGACAAAGTATCGGGATACACCTCTTAATCATTGAATTCAAGTATTTCATTCAGATCCATTGCCAGAGGTGCATAAAATCAAGCACCTAGTCAATAACACTCTCAAAAAGAAGAGTACCAATTTGTACCTTTTCTTGTCACTATTTCTGTACCCTCAAGGGTCTGCCAATTGTACCCTGGCAGGAGGTAAATGCGCTTTTAGTCCAATTTAAGGTACATAAATGGAGCTGTCATTGCTACAAAGGGGGCGTGAACTCAGCATTGAGGCCTATGGATTTATAATGTGATGTCATAAAAATTCCAGTAGGTTTAATGGTCAGGTGTCCCAATACTTTTGTCCATATCATGTATGTCCATGGCAAAATGTTTCTATTGAGGGGAAAATATGTAGGCTTTTCAATAGCATGTCAATGGTAAATTTGCATTTTGATCAAATGACCATCAGATTTCACCCTGGTGTTGAGCCCCGGTCTTGACCTAACAGTAAAGCCCAGGTCCAGGTGGGCTGGCAGCACAGCGGATCTCTTAGGCCCTTCCTGAGTACCAGCATGTTCATGCCGCTGCCGTCCAGTTTACACCCCACTAATCTTTGCAGATTTTCACTTTGACCGTGGACATGATGCAGCATAAGGGGATATTTATTCAACTGAGAATTCGATACGAGCTCGTTTTGGTGCTCTTTAGTGCTCTTTCTGAGTACTACGTTATTCCACAAATTATGTACTGGAGGCTGGCTTTGACTCCCCAGAAACTTCATCTCACCTTGCTTTGACTCCCCAGAAACTTCATCTCACCTTGCTTTGACTCCACAGAAACCTCATCATGTTGGGTTGAGTCGGCACAGCTCATGCTGTCACCTTTATTTCCCCCTGCACCCGGCATCTAAGATGGACATTCAGTTGGTTCCCTTTTCTAACAATCGGTATGGAACCCCCACCCTTCATCCCTGCTGTTCTGGCCAGATGTCGTCCCACATGGGGACTGTGTAATTAGAGGTACTGACTGTATTCACATATCTGCTATGCATAGTGGAAACCTAAGTAGGTCATGAAGCACCCAGAGAAACATCAGAAAAGATTTGACCTCATCATCTTAAAAAAATGCTATTTCTGTTTATTTTGTGCTTTGAGACTATTATGCTGCAAAAGATGCTATACATAATAAAATCAAAATACAGTACAATGAAATTCATTAGTTCCTCGTAATAATTGTGTGCTTCATAAAGTTTTCTCTATTTCCATCTTTAATGCCTTTCCACTCTCTTGAAAGGGAAAATAAAACTTTGCATGGTCTGAGAATTACAAACGGAAATGCTTCAAACTCTGACTGTCTGCCTCAATCTGCTGCCTGTTTCTCAACTATCAACTTTGGTCAGT